TAAAGTTTAAAATTTATTAAAGTTTTTCCGTCAAATCATCTAGCTTTGACTAAAGTGCTTCAAAATGCTGTCAATTTAAACAGCTTACTTTGTTTTGAAACAAAACATCTTCTCGTCTTGTCTAGACTTTAATTTTTTTCTCATTTTGTCCTTATTCGTTCCTATCATATTGGAAAAGAAAGTTATTTTCACAGAGAGAGACATATTTGATTTATCTGCAGGCGTCGTGATAGCTGTTTGTGTGTGATATTAAATGTATCTGAGTGCCTGTGATATTATACAGGAACGATAGCATCTAATCCAGGAATAAATTACTGCATCGAGAGCACCACATGCAGCCCATGTATGGGGCACACACACACACACTCATACCTAAAACAAACACAGAAGATAGAGGAGATCTCATTTATGTGTACACACATGTCTAAAGACATGCTCAAAAACAAGAAGACAGAACATGTAATCTTCCACACAGCTACTGGCATACACCAACCAGCATGCACCTGCAAACATTTGCCGTCACCCTGTCATTTTACCTCTTTCCCAATACTGAGTGAGCCCGAAGGGCTGCCCTTTATTTTGACATGTCTTTAATCTTAGTGTGAAAGTGCAAACACATCACGTTTGCTCCTCTAGCCTTTCTCAACCCTCAGATATGAACCCCAAGCATACAAATGCGCAGCATGGTTTTTTCATTGTTTGTTTGTTTATAAAGAAAAGCTCCTCTAAAAGTGAAAATTGTGTCAACATGTACTCACCGATATGTCACCCCAAATCTAACTCTATGGAGGGAACAAAGAAAAATATTAGGCTGCTTTCTCCATGCAGTAAAAATTTTCAAAGTACAGTATATTGTCTGGAATAGAGCACAGTGATTCAGCTGAATGTCTCCTATTGTTTGTTATCCACCTTGTTCATACATCCCATGATGCTGTGTGTTTATTATGGGAATACATCCAGTTAAAATGTAAACAGTCAGTTATTTTTTTATAGATGCAACAGGAGGCATTATTCTTTTCACTATACTGTCATCAAAAAGAAAACAGAATTATTTGAGTGACCATGAATAACCCTAACACATGCAGGTATGTTTTTAAACAAAACTATTATGGACGTGTTAAGAAAATAATAATTTAATTTACTGTATGGAAGAAAAAATATATATAGATATAGAACACAATGAACTCAAAACAGCTCTTTCCATAGAAATTCAAATAAAAAGTTCATGCTATAAAACTAAACATAGTTTTTTTTCATGATAGATAAAAATAAAGCACAAAGAAATATGGAACTATATATGTATACACACTCGCAGCTGATGTCAGAACAGCAGAAACTGTTGCTAATTCACCAACGTCACTTTAAAGCTTGTATTTGAATGATTTTCCAGCATAATGTCTAAAGTGATGATAAAACAGGTTATTTTGCTCACATTAAGATTATAAGGCTGAACGGCATGAAATGCCATCAGTCTACTAAGATTTCGTAGTATTTCTCTGTTGCAATCGGGAGATCACAATAATTAACCTCAAAAAAGCCAAAGCAAAACAAACACTAGCAGATTGCTATGGGATAAATACAGCACTACAAAATACAAAATAGAGATATTGACTTAGAATGTCACTTGTTTTATAATGATTTGATCAACTGTAGTTTGAAATACGAAAAGAAAACACTGAGTTTTTCTCCCCTAAGGCTTTGATATGCAGCCATCTTGTGACGCAACCGTCTATGCTCTTCTCAGTATCAAAGGTCGTAAATATTACTATAAATATTTAAAATAGGCACTGTTCTTATAAATAAACTGCATAGTTGCAACCTAAACAATTAGTAAAAAGCCTCAAACGTATATTTTGTTATCCAAGAGCTGCAGTATTTGTTAAAATGTAGGCGGAGTAATACACAAGGGTGAAGAGGCTGTACGAGTTCTGTTATTGCAGATTGATATATTGATCTTCTTATATACAAGTTGAAGTCAGAATTATTAGCCCCCCTTTGAATTATTTTTCTTTTTTAAATATTTCCCAAATGATGTTTAACAGAGCAAGGACATTTTCACAGCATGTCTGATAATGTTTTTTTTTTCTTCTGGAGAAAGTCTTATTTGTTTTATTTAGGCTAGAATAAAACATTTTAAATCCCCATTTTAAGGACAAAATTATTAGCCCTTTTTATTTATTTTTTTTATTTGATAAAATTAAATGAGAATTATTTTACAGAATCTCCCCCAGAAACCATCTTCATCCCTGTCCACAATACTTTATCTGTCTTTGCTGTTTTGTTAAATCTTCTCCTGATTGGGCAAAATGAGACCTTGTTTGGTGACGAAAGGTTCTCCTCTTGAGGATGTGAGCTGAGCTGGTTTACTGCTGACCCAATTATTCTTCTCTTCTTCTCCTGTTCTTTTCCCCTCTGTGCTCACATCAGAAACAGGGCTTGTGCTCAGTCCCCCTGTCCCTCGACCCTCTGTCTGCTAACTGCAGCAGTTAATGAACTTACTGTGGCACCACTGAGAGTCCCAGCTACTCTCTTTCATGTTCATATTTCATGTCTGTGCTGTAACCCTGCACACTGAATTATTAACTAGAGTGCTCTCTTTTCTGGGGTGATGCTTTGTGTTTTACTTGTCTGTCTGTCTGTTTTTTTTTTTTTAATCTATCCATAGTTGAGGGAGGCTTGGTTAGTGATGCATGAAATGAGATGTGAGACGTAAAAAGTGTTCTGATTGGATGCTCTAATGGGCTGCATGTTTACAGCTGCACCGTTCGAAATGTGTGTCTGTTTAGTAAGCGCTTCTTAGTACATTTTCTTAGACAATCAAGCATTATTGGAAGACAAACAAGTTGCTTTTTGCCATTTTTAAGTCAAACATTTCTACTAAATCATAGATCACATACACACTGCACTTGTGAGTGTAACAGCAGCATTCAAAAGGGAATCCATTGTTATTGCACTTTGCTGTTAGTGAAAGGAATACGGGAGGCTTTGATATAAAATAATAATAGGAACATTCTGATGTATCTCAGGTGCTTCTGAGGAATTATATTTTGCAAACATAGTGCAGTGGTTATGAATGTAAAAACTGCATTTAAATACAAGAGCGAATCCATTTTTGTTTGTGTGTGAACAGAATACCGGACTCACTCTCAAATCTACAATGCTTTCAATTTAGAGATAATTATAGCATCATTTTGATGATTATCTGATGTAATTATTAAACACACACTTACTATGGTGTGAAAATGCATTCAAATTCAGGAGTGACTCAAATAAATTGTTGTACTGGAGTCCAACTTTAATTTTAAATTTAAGCAAGTAAATGAGTAATTCGGTTAAGTTTTTGTATCGTGTGGGAACAGAATACTAAGGTCACACTCACAAACATTGCCGTGGTCATGAGTGGAATAACACATTCAAATGGAGGAATTATTCCAAAAAGTTATTGTATTGTGTGTGAACAGAATAGTGGAGTCACACTAGATCTTACACACACACACTGCAGTGGTTATTGGTGCAAAAAACACATTTAGATGCAGTCCAGTAATTAGTTAAAGTAGAGTCACAATTGAGTCACACACTGGGATGGTTATGGGTGCAAAAACACATTCAAATTCAGGAATAATTCAAATAAGTTATTTTATTACACTAGATCACACAAACACACACACACAAACACGCACGCTGCAGTGGTTATGGGTGCTAAAAACACAATTAGATGCAGGAGTAATCAAATAAGTTGCTATGTCATGTGTGAACAGAATGCTGGAGTCGCAAAAGATTTCACACCCTGCAGTGGTTACAGTATGGATGCAAAATCACATTCAAATGCAAGATTGATTCAAATAATTTATTTTATTATGTGTGAACAGAATACTGGAGTCACACTACATCCCACACACACACACTGTAGTGGTTATGGGTGCAAAAAACACATTCAAATTCAGGAGTAATTCAAATTAGTTGATGTATCGTGTGTGAACAGAATACTGGAGTCACACTAGATCACACACACTGCAGTGGTTACAGTATGGATGCAAAATCACATTCAAATGCAAGATTGATTCAAATAATTTATTTTATTATGTGTGAACAGAATACTGGAGTCACACTACATCCCACACACACACACTGTAGTGGTTATGGGTGCAAAAAACACATTCAAATTCAGGAGTAATTCAAATAAGTTGATGTATCGTGTGTGAACAGAATACTCGAGTCACACTAGATCACACACACTGCAGTGGTTACAGTATGGATGCAAAATCACATTCAAATGCAAGATTGATTCAAATAATTTATTTTATTATGTGTGAACAGAATACTGGAGTCACACTAAATCACACACACTGCATTGGTTACAGTATGGGTGCAAAACACATTCAAATGCAAGATTAATTCAAATAATTTATTGTATGTGTAAACAGAATACTGGAGTCACACTAGATCGTACACACACTGCAGTGCTTATGGGTACAAAAACATTCAAATGCAGGAGTAGTTCAAATATGTTCTTGGATTATGTGTGAACAGAATACTGGAGTCAAACTAGATCACACACACTGCAGTGGTTACGGTATGGGTGAAAAACCACATCAAATGGAGGAGTAATTCAAATAAGTTGATGTATCGTGTGTGAACAGAATACTGGAGTCACACTAGATCACACACACACTGCAGTGGTAATGGGTCTGAAAACCATTTTAAATATAGGGGGAATTCATTACATTTTTGCACCATATGCAAACCCGGCAATGTTTGACATAGATACATGTTTGTGTGAATAGAAAAGGGGAGTCACTCCGGATCCTACAATGTTTACTTAGATAGCTTGGCTGTATAGGATTCAGTTATCATCATCATAAATAGCCAAAACCAGTGTGTACAGAATCCAGATTAAGCACTACGCTTACTACAAATTGAACTACACTTCCTCCCCCTCACTTTCTTTTCCTTCTTCCTATAAGTCAAACGATAACTTGTTTCTCTGCTTTTTGGGGCAGATCTTAACCTGGAGAGCCCCTGCCTGAAGAAGACCTGCGAGTTTGGAGCCGTGTGCGTGGTGAAGAACAGCGAAGCAGTGTGTGAATGCTCAGACGCCTGTCCGCAGGACCAAGACCCTGTTTGCGGCAGCGATGGGCACACGTACAGCAGCTCATGTCAAATGAAGGCCATGGGATGCGCTCTTCAGAAACAGATACAGATGCAACACAAAGGACCATGTGGTAAGTCCAAACACAAACACACACACACATGCATTGATGCCACTCACTCCCTCACTGCCTTTCATCCTCGTCCACCCCCTGCACTTAAGCACTCCACCGATATTTCAAGAGAGGACTGTAATTTTCCTCCTCCGCAACCTTTTTTTTTTGTTGAAACGATGCACTTAAGTTAGAATTAAAGAGGGCAGCATCCTTCACAGTAATTGTTTGCGTGAGTCATGGGTTTTTTTGTCGGGCTTTTGTAAGCTCGCTCTAGATAAGTCTACAGAGAGGCCTGCTCGCCCCCCAAACAAACGCGTGTTTATGTGCGTTCTTTACAAAAGACTTGTAAATCATTTTCGATGGCTGTCTTTGTGCTTTCGCTTGGGAGGGGAATATTAAGTGGATTTTTTTTTACTGGGAAACTTTGAAAAACCTGTCTCGTTCGCTGTCAGCTTACGTTCAGGAAGAATGAGGTGGAACTATTGTGTCATGCGGTTTATACATGCGTGTGTGTAATAGCCTTGCCTCCAGTGAGGAGTTTGAAATGGACGCCGGGGGTCATCTGGTAGCAGCAGGATCCATCTCAGAAGAGATCGCTACAGGCCACGCTTGCTCTTTATTGCAGTGCCGCCCATCATGCTGTATATGTTGCCAGATAGCAAATGACATATGAGAGTGATATCTCTCTCCTCACAGGCTTCTGGAACATCAGATTAACTACCCACAGAGGTTTAACTCACAGAAACAGGTCTGGGTGGAGCCAAGGTTGTATTTTTTCCCATACATATAATGTGAACAATTTAAACGGGTGATTTGGGAGTGGATAGAGAGGATTTTAGAAATGGTTGGCTTTGATGGATTTATTTTTGGAATCAATGGATTGAAAATGTTTTGTTTTTCCAAATGTAGAATGTAATTATACAGTGGTATTCCCACAATCGTAGAAAATGTGGAATTAAAAAAGTAATTTCATGATTTTGAAATGTGAAACAGGAATTAGTTTGAAAGTAATACGCTTAATTTCATTTTAGCTAATAATATAGTAAACTGACCTTTATAAAATCAAGGTCAATCTAATATAACTTAGAGATACACTCCACTTTTTTGTTAAAGGTTATAAGTTGAGTTTTACCATATTTGAACTCATACAGCCAAATGCATGATCTGGCGGGAGCACTTTTAGCTTAGCTTAGCATAGATCATTGAATCGAAGATTCAGCGGAGACCATTAGCATCTTGATCAAAGTTCCTTGATTATTACGCAGATATGAGAGTATAGTTCCTAAACATATCAACCTAGAAAGTAGCAATGTTTCATTTTTCATTGGTCTTAGTAAACAATGTTACTACAGAAATGTCATGCTTCAAATAGAAAAAATTATCTAAAATCTTTGATCATTTTTAAACCCATTCAACCAAACTCATGGTCTGGCAGGAGCACTTTTAGCTTAGCTTGGCATATATCATTGAATCGGATTAGACCATTAGCATCTTGTTCAAAGTTCCTTGCAGGAATGAGAGTATAGTTCCTAAATATATTGACCCAGAAAGTAGCAACATTGCATTTTTTTATTGGTCTTAGTACACTGTGTTAATACAGAAGTGTCACCCTTTAAATAATAAAAAAAATAAATTGTTTGGTTATTTTTGAACCCGTTCAGTCAAACTCATGGTCTGGCAGAAGCACTTTTAGCCTAGCTTAGCATAGATCTTTGAATCTGATTAGACTATTAGCCTCTTGATCACAGTTCCTTGATTATTATGCAGGAATAATAGTATAGTTCCTAAACATATCGACCTAGAAAGTAGCAATTTTTCATTTTTCGTTGGTCTTAGTTCACGTTTCTACAGAAGTGTCACACTTCAAATAGAAAAATTATCTCAACTCTTCAATAATTTTTAAACCCATTCAGCCAAGCTCATGGTCTGGCAGGAGCACTGTTAGCTTAGCATAGATAATTAAATCGAATTAGACCATTAGCTTCTTGATCAAAGTTCCTTGATTATTACGAAGAAACAAGAGTATAGTTCCTAGACATACTGATTTGGAAAATAGCAACTTTTCATTTTTCGTTGCTCTTAATGCACAATGTAACCACAATAGGACAATTATCTAAACTCTTTGGTCATTTTTTGAACAAAATGCTAATCTGGTTCAATGATCGATGCTAAGCTAAGCTAAAAGTGCTCCAGCCAGACAGATTTGCTGAATAGATTCAAAAACAGTAAAACTGTACTCCTTGAATCTAAGTGACGTGTAAAATGAGGCTTTAAAAAAGAACAATTATAACTCTTTTAATTTAATTTATTTTCATAAACTTAAAATGTGGAAAGATAATTGAGCCACGTTAGATCATGTTGGACAAACAATCAGAGCTAATAAACCATGTCTGCCCAGCTAAAAAGCCTCTATGGCCTTACATAAACGACCATAATCACCTTAAACGGCATTGACCTTTTTTTCCCAGCTGGAAATAATCATTGTAGTTTTGAAAATCCATCCATTACAGCATCACAGCAGTAATGATGTGTCCGGCCTCTCGCTGAAGCAGGTGTCAATGGAAAGGGCCAGTAAAGAGCGGCAGCAGCAGCTCACCATACAAGAGTAAACGCTGTTCATTTAGTGCTGTGTACACAAACACGCTCTCCACCACAAGTGACTTCTATTATTATCGCTGTTAATTATCCAGGCCCATTCAAACCAGTCTTTGCCTCTAGACCCCAGCTGTGTTTGTGTGTGTTCAATGGTGAAAGCTTATGTGTGTCGCTGTCGGAAGCAGTGCTTTTTATGGCAAAAAAGCAGTGTTCGGTACCTGATGTTAACAATGCTCTTTCCTTTATGCCGGTGAATGAGATTATTTTACTAGTTTCCTGTAGAATAATAGAGAATCAAAAAAATGAAACTAGTCATCATCATCATGCCTGTGTGACTTTCTTCCTCATGTTAAAGGGATATTTAACCTAAAAATAATTATTCCCTCATTCTTATTTCCAGGTTGTCCAAGATGTAGAGCTGAAGTCAAAAGGATTAAACCCCTCCTATCCAATTGTATCTAGAAATAAAATCTTAATGGGGTTAAATAAAATAAATACAGCTTTTATTCCAGTGAAACTAAAAGAAATACGACTTTATCTAGAAGAAAATATATAGGAAATCAGTGGTTAGCACTGTTCCCTCACAGCAACAAGGTCACTGGTTCCATTTTATCCATGATTTTGTCACAGACAGACTGAATCTGTGATTACAGTGTGAATCTGAAACATTTAGATCTTTATCAAAGACCTTTAACGTATCTAAAACAGACATTAAATGAAATAAAAATCACCTAGCAAAACTGTGACAAATTTTCTCTAGAACACACCTATAGCAAAACAAACGTGTGTGAGCATGCGTGCTGTCAAACTCAAGTAAGGCTCTGATGTACTGCTTGACCAAATATCAGAAGTAGTTGTGTGTGTGTTCACAGATTTGTTTTGTCTTGCATAGATCATAGACCTCTCTGTGATGCTGCTGTGAAATAGACCATTCACATCTTTGCACGCACAAGTTCATTATTTTCAATGGACTGCGTTCATATATTGAGAGCGTCACGTGTTCGTTGCCAGGTGCACCCAGCTGAAAACATCTCTTTTCAGACAAACTTTAAATTTTACATTTCAGAATGCCACACTGCAAGTCACGTAACAAGAACTGATTGATCAGCTTTATACTTTGTATGGAATACAGGGTGCGAATTACAGGGGGGTTGAGGGGATTGACCCTCCTAAGCCTCGATCCCCCTGATGGACATCAAAACAAAATGTGTGGCGGGGGTCAGTGCTTTGAAACTGAGATAAAAGTTCACTCTGATCTGTATTTTAAATAATAATGTTAATATTTAAAATATTAGACATCCATTTGACCACCCCTATGACGTTTCATACCATTGTGAATGCATAATTGCGCCAATCAGTCCATTTGATAAAAAAGTAATTTAACAATCTGATTTAGAGCACCAATAGACACCATAAGAGTTCACAAGATGTGGAGAAAACCACATGTCCTCATAAAATAGGTGTTTGTTTCTACATATATCCTAAAAGTAAAGTCAAATTAGATGGCTTGTTTGCATAGTTTGTCCTAAAGTAAGATGTATCAGGTCAGAATACACTTAATTCGCACACTAATGGAATATACACATTTCGGTTACCTCAGACAAACACAAGACACCCAAACACCAAGTGCTTTTTAACTCTTTCCATACATAAAACTTGTGTCACAGCTACAGCATTTTGTTAGTTTGTCATCCTCTGAGAAAATGGTTGATGGTCACAGAGTAACAAAAAAAAGGAGCGACCACAAAGCATGTTGAAAATGCTGAAAGAAGTGACATGCTCACTTTCCATGCGCTTTTAGACATGATATATGATTGACTTACAAATTTACCTGGTTCTGTCATACATCAGCCTTCCTGTATCCAAAGTAATTTAATCCAATACCTCAGATGTTGACTCTTTTGGCATAAAGTCATCCTGTGCTGAACTCATCATCCCTGTATTCACCCTATTTTTAATGTACGAGTGGGCGTGGCCATTTAAATCTTTTTTGGCTCCAGACTTCCAGTCTTATTCACTTCTATTAATTTTTAGAAGTTAAAAACAGCATGTTATGCTGCTTGATGTTGCAAACTGATATTTTCTTATTATATTATTTTACTTGGTCTGGATAGTCATGCAAACACTTGTTTGTAGAGCACGTGGATAGACCGTTTTCTGACGTTTATATTGCTAATCATTTTTCCCATAGGCAATTGATTTGGAAGACTAAAACAATCGCAAAAACAAGCACACTGTGAAGTGAAGAATAAGGTTAATACACTGGCTATTCAGTCTCCTGTTTTCTGTTTAGGCGCGCTGTGTTATGATTGGTTCAAATACCAAACTGTGGAAAAATTGTGCTGTAAAGCGATTTTGAAATCCCGCATATCCAAACCCCAATTTTGATACGATTTTGATACGAAAAAAAACTTCACATGCAT